TAGCTTCAGTGGTTGCCAGTTGTGAGTTGCAGGGTCATATGGCTGCTGGCTATATAAACATCATTGTTGAAAGTTTGAATTAAAATGATTATTTATTAGGTTTTATCTTCTATAAAATAATGAGCTTTCTTAAAAGCCATCTTCAACAAGTAAGCACTCTGCTATTCAAACTTGTATTTAAACAGGGTGTAGGGAGTGGGGTGCCAGCTGGCAAAAACCATGCTCTGAATCAGACGATTTTGTGAAATGTGAGGTCTGACAGGTGCACAGGGTTTTTTCTCATTAGAAATCGCTCTGCTTTCGTTCATTCGCCACTGTCAGGCTTCGTTGTTAAAAAGTACAACGATATTCCACTAAACCCATCAAGGAAAAGGTTATGGTGGGGAAAAAAATGGCACTTCAAAGTGACAGGTTTGGGAGACGAACAGAATACATAAGAGAGTGTATTGCTGTATACAAAGAAAATTGACTTCTTGCAAAGCTGAAGTTAGTAAACTGCCTCCTAGTTATGAAGAAGTACATAAAATGGCAGTGAAAATGATCACCTGTAATTAGCATCTGTAACTCCCGATAATTGTAATTTCATAAACCATATGTTTATTCAAATGTGTGTTAACCATTTCATATATGATATATATAATAACCATTGCATAGATAATAGCAGATATGCTTCGTACTTTTACACTGACAGAAAACTACGACCTCCTGTAATAGAGCACATTATCACCCAGTCAGAAGGTTGCAGAAAGCTTCCTCAGCCTCAGTTAGGTGAAACAAGGGAACCGCAAAAAAAATAGCTGTCCAGCTAGGAGACAAGTTCATACAATATAATATAATATAATTTCTTCTGAATGGGGAGCCCGAGACAAGCTAGAGGAGATTTGTATATGGGTTTAGTGCTTCCATTAATATGGCCCCAAGGAAAGAAAATAAAACATAATGATGGCACCTATAACTGCCTTTCACAAGGAACAGTAATCTTGTGATGGAAAATACTAGGCAAATCTTGCAAAAGTTCCAATAAAAACTGGAAGCTATCCGAACAATACAGAAACAAAAGCAAAGGTTTTCTGAGAAGTTTTTAAGACGGAAAGAGCTGCAGATCCACAGCCTATGGTTGGACAAGAATAGGCACTAAACTATAAAGATTGGTGGCAAGAGCAAATAGGCCATGGACAGCTGAAACAATATCAATTCAATATCTATTCATTTCATGCCAGTCCATAACCTCAAGAAGAACACTTGCAGTTGAAGAGCTCAATTTTTAACATGTTAAATGCCCTGCAGCATACTAAACCACCATGATGTGGTTTTGGCTTGTTACATTACAAAAAGACCAATAAACTGGTCTGTTTAAAGTGTAAACGGATAACCCTAAGAAGAATGCAAAAGACAGGAACAAGAACAAAATATGCTTTGGATGATAACTGGGATTGAGTGGTCAAGAGCAGGCATCAAAAGCACCAAAAATCTAAAAAACAGCTGAAAATACATGAAGCTGTGATCATCAACTGGGGTACAAAAAAGGGGAAAAACATGCAGTAAACTGCCAGCAAAACTGTTGTCTTGTCATCAGTATTCCTGAATTTATCAGCTCACTAACGTAAAATTCCACTGCATCACTACAGAAATTAAAAAAGCCGTACTTACCACTACGAAGTGACGGAGGACATAAATAATTTTACCATCTCTAGCTCTCTCCGACAACAGCTTGTGAAAGGTGTTAAACTTATTGGTACCGATTTCAGCATAAAGAATGACTACTGGGAGGTCGCTGCCATTGTTCGCTGGGAATGTATGATCAAACTTGAACAAATAGGGTTTTGGCCTGCAAAAAGTGAAAAGCACAATAGTTTTAGGTCCAAGCATATAAAAATCAAAGATTTATAAGATCAAATCACATTTTGATGACAAAAAAATAGTCTATACCTGTTAGCTGCAATAATTCATCTAGAATCTAGAGGTCAAACCAGTCCTACCAATGATACTGTATACAGTACATAACATGAAAGACGTTAAAGGATTAGCATGCGTCGTGCTAGGTAAGCTATCTTAAATCTTAAATCTTTTGAAAAAAACAACCCGAGATCGGAAATGTGATTTGTTGACCAGAAGGGTATTCTGGAAAGGGTGGGAACAGCTCACTTAATCTCATTTTGCATCTAATGATTTGCATCTTGTTTATAATTTGCTATTTCTAACTGAGGGTCAGTAATATCCTACTCTTTCTGGATTTAAATGTAGCTTCGAGACTGACAATTACAACATCCTACAGGATTACATGAAAAAGTTATCTAAGCATGGTTCTCCTTTCCCTGGTTTCACATACTACTGCAGTCTTGTCACTTTACTGGTAACAGTCTAATATTAAGACACAGATGCAACACAATGATCTTAAAATAAACTGTGGATACTTGAGATAAACCTTGGTGATACTTTTGACCCCATGCTATCATTTGAATTGCATGGTTAGAACTAGAAAAGAGTATCTTTCATGTCCATGTGCAACAATACACAACAATCCCTACACTGTCTCTCTAATGCAGAAATATTAATATAGTGTACATATCTTGATTAAATAAAAATTACTGTAATGCCGTAGTTACTGAAGTATCTTCTTAAGTACTAAATGGGCTTCAGTACTGTATGTCCGACATTCTATAGCCCATGTGCTACTGCATAAGCACGTAACCAGTCCTTTGTAAATGCCAACAGCTCCAAGTCAAATTTAGAATGCATTAAAGGTTCTCTGGCTCCCTTAAGTAAGTATTTATAAGTAGTGAATGGAATAGATATAGATTTTCTTAAGGTAAGCATTCTGAATCCTGGCTTTAAAAGACACCAATGTCTCCTGGTTCTAATTCCAACTAGACCTATATTCACAGGTCCCAGTTAGTCCCTGTAACTGATCTGCTTGCTGCACTCAGACCTTAGCTTCGATACAAGCTAGCTAAAAGTACATTTTCAGCAATTTACCATAAACAGAGAGTTGGAAATTACAATGTGTCACATATTACCACAGTGAGTGATTACCCTTCTACCTAGGTCTAATTCAGACACACTTAAATGAGGGCAGTTCTGACACTCACTTATTTATTACTGTAAGATACCATTTCAAACTGTAAATTGTATAAATCCTAATTGCACAAATTACAATGCGATTAAAGAACTCGACTGGACATAGGGCTCCCCAGGACCAGGACTGAGAATGAGTCTCGGAAGGATTTATTGCATGAGTATAGAGCGGGTTCTTAATCTGATATCAGCTGTTTCAGGCCTTTCCAAATGCAAATCTACACAATGGGTAAGAAAGTCCTCATACAGGGCCATATTTGTGAAACTTATTACCCAAACGCATTAGAGACTCTGCGACTGTCGACATTTTCAAATCCAACTTAAAGACCCATCTTTTCACTATAGCTCACAAATGTAGATTTTAATTTTCTTTCTAGGTTTTCATTAAGTCCAATTGCTGTGACTTTTTTTGCCCCCACTTTCTTTTCGCTTCTGTTCTGTATAATGTGCGTTTCGTTGTACGGAGCATTGCGTTTCATGAAAACACAAAACCGTGCCTATAAATAAAATTGTAGTTGTAGTACTGGATTGCTTAATTAAGAAAGAACAACTTAACAATGATTCTCTTAAAAACACTCCTGGGCATTGTTTTCAAATGCCGTAACTGTGCACATTGTCAAATTTAAAAATGCAATTAAGGACATGAAATGAGAACGTGAGCTGTTAGAAATCTATCCATCCAACACAAATACAACAACAAGAAAACCACAAATTTCTGGTAAGCATTGCGGTTTTCTTGTTACTGAACCCTATCCTTTGAGCATATGACGTCAAGTAGGACAGCATCCTGGAGGAAGACACACAGATCAGCATGTCCCTAGAATGTGGGAAGAAACCAGAAACGCAACAGAGAACACACCCAAGGCCAAAATGGAACATTGGACCCAAAAGCTCTGAGGCAGTGAAGTACAGAATTTACTTTAAACTACAAACACTTCAAATGAAATCAAAGCAATGAATTTACCAAGTCTGAGTCAGAAGAAGGTGTTGATTGGAATCTTTAAAGTACAACTTTATTTTAATCTGAGATCCCTTGGGTTTGCCTTCACATCTGTAACACGCAACGTATAGTTACGTTTGCCATATTTTCTATGCTTAATGTATCTATGTACATGCTATTAATTATTTTTAAAAAATCTTTAAAAAGGAAGAAATCAAAACTCAAATGATGGAACTGCAGTCAAAGTAGTTCACAGTTATCATACATAAATGACAAATGTACATTAGGCAGTATGACTGTCGAACAAATCTTAATTCTTAAGTGAAATTTGAACAGATAGTACTATCATTTTAGTGACACACTGAAGTCTCTGTATCCGATACAGTGAGATCTTAACCGCTCAGATGTATCTTTCAGGAGTAACTTCAAGCCTTATTCTTTAAAGCCATTCATACAATGTACACATATGAAGCAGAACACAGTACATGAAACAGAATGTTCAGATAACCTTAATAAACAAGGTAGTAACTAGAAAAAAAGAATGACACTACTGCCGATAGAAACAGAAAGAAAAAAAACAGCCTTCAGATGATAACCAAGTAATCTGAAGTGTCAGTCCAGACAGGGTGTCAAAACAGGCAAAGGAAAATATTCCATGAAATAAATTTCAAGCCATACTGTACAGAAATGCAAAAGGGCTTATTCATTTTGGAATAAGTCTATATTAATAAAAAAATATCTCCACAGAGATGCTCCTATGAATAACATAAAACAGAAATTGTTTTTCGGCAAAACATGTCTGCTCATTAATAAATGTCTGCGTGGTGTTTTAACACTGGGGCTGCACTGCATTTTGAAACTCTAAGAGTGGACATAGGTTAACGGCACAGAAAGAATGTCAGATGTCAGATGAAACAGAACCTTGTATTCAAAACATTTCAGTACCTAAATGTGTTGAATAAAGGGCATAGCATGTTTAATTTGACTCCTAATCACTGGTTTAAGGGCAGAAAATATTAACTTGGTCATGATTATATAAGTGAGAACTGGTAGAGGTATTTTTAATGGTACCCCTTTGGTCTTCTTTCAGGAACATATATTGCACCTCAAGCCCAAAAGGGTGGAAGTGTTGGAATGCATGATAAATTAACATTATTTAGCATTTAAGATGTGGCACAAATGAGATTATATTTTCCCAAATCAGCATTTACTCCAGAATGTGCTACATTAATATTCCACT